TTTAAAAGAGAATCAGCCAAAAAGTTCAGTTTATAACATACAGAATGTTATCTTAGATTCTCCAGCATCGGCAGTTCCTACTATCTCTACATCACCTAAGTTGGTTGCAGCTTTATCTGAGATTAGTTTCTGTATGTTAGAAACTGAACTTGTTCACTGATTCTCTTTTAAAGTCTGATTGACAAACCCAAGAGAAAGCATTTCTTGGTATTAAAATTAATTCAGCAATCTCACTCCCAACCCTTCCGTAGGCAGACAACAGCCCAGAAGGAGAAACTAGGAAGTAATGTTCTCTCTAAGTTGAATGCACAGCTACCCTGACATTCCATAGGCAGTGTCCAGACTTCTGACACTGTTGACTTCTGGTTCCAGAAGATGCTGCTGTGTACGAACATGAGAATGGAACAAAAAACGAACAGTAATGCTGATGGCAAATGGGGTATACTGGTCTGAATCATCTCATATACTTCAAAATTAGAGACAGCCCATTTAAAAGAAATGTTAGGAAGCACTTCTACATACAAAGGATGGTCGAGGTTTGGAACTCTCTTCCACAAAGGACAGTGGATGCTGGATCAGTTGTTAACCTTAATCTGACACAGGTGAATTTTTATTCAGCAAAGGTATTAAGGGACATGAACCAAAGACAGGTGTATGGAGTTAGGCCACAGAGCAGCGATGATCTCATTGAATGGTGGAACAGGCTTGAGGGGCTGAATGGCCACCTCCTGTTCCCATGTTCCTAAAATAGAACTCCAATACACACTTTTAAATACAATTAGTCTTTGTACTGGCTTCCCTCTGGGACGGCAGCTCTGAGCTCTCAGGGCAGACTCTGTATTTCCAGGTCTTTGTACAAAGTTTACTACCAGTGTGGGATAGAGAAATCACCTGTCATTCAACCACACCCTCCCCTTTCATGAGCTACTATGCTCTCACCTGATGAGGGATAGCACTTTGAAGTTGATCAGAAAGCTACCAGACTCACCTTCCTGACAGCTGCTTCCCATGAATCCAGGGCAACATCTCCATTCCAAAGCAGTAACATTCTTGTAAGCCAGCTTGTAGGTGGGTCTGATGATAGTTCTGTAACTAGCACAAGAAACTAATCAAGATTATGAGAACATTGTTCCAAACTCCATCATTTATTTCCAGTACAATTGTTTTTCTTCCCCTCTAAAGAATGGGGAGATCTTGTGGGAAAGTGGGTAGTGTCCTTGCCTCTGAGCCAGAAGCTCTGGGTTCATGTCCCTCTCTGGAATTTGACAGCCAAGGAAGGTGCTCATAACGTGCTCAAACAGAGTGAGGATCAATTTGTGAATCGTCCAACACACATCACAGGCAGGCTGTAATAGTGGAAAGGTCTGCTGGCCAGTCAGAACCATGTGGTAGCTACAATAACAGCCATCCCTTACATAGCTTCTTGCACTGCCTCCTCATTGTGAAGGAATGCCAGAAGACCAAGAATCTAAAGAATAGTACATCACTACACAACTATAAACAAGTGCAAAGCCAGTATTAGCAAATTTGTGTGCTGTCAAAAATGACATACTATTGAATTGGTGGCATTATACTAATTATATTGGCAGCATGGTGGCTCAGTGGTTAGCACTAGTGCCTCACAGCATCAGGGTCTTGGGTTCGATTCCAGCCTCAGGTGGCTGTCTGCGTGGAGGTTTGCACATTCTCCTTGTATCTGCTTGGGTTTCCTCCCACAGTCACAAAGATTTATATGTTAGGTGGATTGGCCATGCAAAAATTGCAAATAGTGTCCAGGGATGTGCAGACTAGGTGGGTTAGCCATGAGAAATCCAGGATTATAGGGATAAGGTGGGTCTTTGAATGGTCAGTGTAGGAATTCCATAAATCTTTTTTGCTTCACATCAGTACAAATAACAAGAATATCAATTCCAGGGTTAAACAACAATTATACTGGCTGAGAGGAGAGTGCTGATTGGTTGACAAGTGGATTCATATTGGTAGAGGGCTTGCCATAAAAAAATGCACCAATTAAACGAATGACAGTTAACTCTCAGACTTTGTTTAACTTCTATGTCAGACAGAGTGACTCTAATTGAAAGTTGGACGGTTTTAGTTGATTAACAGAAAGGCTCTGAAACTTGAAAATTAAGTGTTGTTTATTCTTGACCTGTGTAATACAATGCAGTGGCAGAATTCTGAATTGTTGAACTGCAGAATGTTAAAATGCTGCCAGGAGAGAGTGAAAACACTCAAAACCTGCAAACAACATAGTCTCTCCCTCTCTCTATACCCCTGTGTGGGGAAAAGACAGAAAATAATAAAATTACAGAATCCCCACAGAGCAGAGCAGACCATTCAGCTCATTAAGTCCATACCATCCCCTGAACTGTATCCCACCCAGACCCAACTCCCACCTTATCCTTGTAATCCTCCATTTCCCATGGCTATTCCACCTAGCCTGCACATCTTTAGACTGTGAGAGGAAACCCACACAGACATAGGGCAAATGTGCAAAAAATCCACACAGACAGTCACCCGAGGCCAGAATCGAACCTTGGTCCCTCGTGCTATGAGGCAACAGTGTTAACCACCAAGCCACTGTGTTGTCCCTAAAAATCCCAGAAAGCTTAGTAGAAAGAATCCATACAAGACAGCAAACAGAAAATCGCAGAACTCTTACAAGTATTGATATACACTGGGTAAAAAAACCGAAATTGCTGGAGAAACTCAGAAGGTCTGGCAGTGTCTGTGGGAAGAAAGCAGAGAAAGCAGGATTCGAAACGTTAACTCTGCTTTCTTCCCACAGATGCTGCCAGACCTGCTGAGATTCTCCAGCATCTGCAGTTCTTTGTTTTATTTCAGTGATATACAGAGGGATCTTAGGATGCAAGATCATAACTCCCTGAAAGTGGCAACACAAGTGGGTAGGGTGATGAAGAAAGTGTACAGCATGCTTGGTTTCATTGGTTGGGGATCTGGGTATAAAAATTGGTGAGTCATGTTGCAGCTGTATAAAACTGTATAAAACCACGCTACATTTGGAGTACTGCGTGCAACTCTGGTCACCATATTGCAGGAAGGATGTGGAGGCTTTGGAGAGAGTGCAAAAGAGGTTTACCAGGTTATTGCCTGGATTGGAGTGTATAAACTATAAGGAGAGGTTGGAGATCGTTTTCATTAGAGTTTCAGAGGATGAGGGGCAATCTGAGAGAAGTATATAAAATGATAAGAGGCATGGAGAGGGTTTATAGTCAGACAATTTTTCCCAGGGTGGAAATATCAAATACTAGGGGGCACAGGTTTAAGGTGAGAGGGGAAATATTTAAAAAGATGTATGAGACAAGTTATTTTTTTAAACACAGAGGATAGTAGGTGCCTGAAACACACTACCAGGGGAGGTGGTAGAAGCAGATACAATAGCAATGTTTAAGAGGCATTTAGAGAGAGACATGAACAGGCAGAGATTAGAGGGATATGGATCATATGCAGATAAACGGGATTACTTTAGAAAGGCATCATGGTCTGCGTAGACATGGTGGGCCAAGGGGTTTATTCCTGTGCTGGCCTGTTCCTATACTATACTGTTCTATGTTCTGAGACCAAAGTTTATTTGCTCAACCATCACCGGACAGATAACAGCATCATTGCAAAAATCAAAAGGATAGTGGGAGAAAAAGACCTTTCCACCTTGTGGTCTTGACTTTTAATCTTCAGGATTTTGTTTCCCTTGTCTATATTATTTTTCTACTCATACCAAATGTGTCTTTTGTTTGTCTTAATCATGATCGAGAGTGCATGTATTTGCAAGTTTTGAAGGGATATCATTTTATTTGCATAAATTAGAATTTTTTTCTTTTCTCTGCTCTTGTTAAAGACCATTCCAATAAACAGAATTATGTTTACTGTCAATGAAGAAAGCTTTGATTTGGTTTCTGTTTGTCCTGGGTAGCAGTCTGCCGGGCAATATGGATTTTGTTGGCCTCATCGGGATTTTGAGAGATTTTGGGGCAACCTGTGCATTATGATTATCAGCGATTTCCAGTTAGTTTGTGACAACTCTGGGACAAATTTCTCAGCTGCGTAGACTTCACTCACCGTATTATGAGCTCAAATGTTTAACCTCACATTAAAACAGAGCTCACAGAAAATTCCAAGAATGTCAAAACAGCCAGACTGTTAGCTGAGGGATGGTCAGATCCTAGCTCCAGTGTCCAAGGAATCACCATTTCCAGTTCATTTGTTGAGCTCCTGTAACACTGTTTGGAGCTTGACAGAGCAGGAAGCTTCCTCTTCAGAGGGAGGCTGCAATTAACAGTTGCTGAGCTTACACATACAGAGCTGAGCTCACTATTATCAGGGGAGTTAGTTCAAACAGCAGGATTTTCATTATTTTAACAGCTCAGGAAATTAAATGCTAACAATTCTGGATAGCTGTTGGCTTGACATGGAGAAACTGTTGTGAACTATTAACACAAAGTTAGAGTCTAAAAGAATATATATTGCTCCAATATCAGTCTAACAGTAGGAGGTTCTTTTAATCTGTTATTATAGAGTTACCACTGGAGCCTGGGGAAACCGATTACCACCAGATACTACGTGTCAGACTGTTCTGTGCTCCAGTGTTATGTAGGCGATGGCTAATTGCAACTGTGGGCTGCATCTCTGAATTCAAAACAAAGAAGTACAGACTGAATTTGCCAACCCCATCAGCCCCAAAGTCAGTATAAAGTTCTGTGGTTTCTCCTGAAGGAAGTGACCTTTGACCTTGATCATGTGCTAGTAACACCATAGCATCAACAGATACACAGTGCATTATAATTTTTCATGGGCATGGGGATTTCCTGTGTGCCTTGCATGGAAGAATATCAAGTGGGAGAACTGGACACAGTTAAATGATTGTACAAAGAATCAGAAGGCTTCCACTACAATGGTGTCAAGCAATCCCTTACACGTGGGTCTGCCCTGCTGTCACTCTCTACAATCCAGACATGGCCATGCTAAATTTCCCATAGTGTCCAGGGATAAGCAGGCTAGGTGGATTAGTCATGGGAAATGCAGGATTACAGGGATGGGCTAAAGGGTGGGTCTAGGGGCATTGCTCTTTGCAGGGTCGATGTGGTCTCTCACCTCACCAAACTGGAGCAGTGTGCAGGCCAATGACAGCTCTGGTAAACACGCTGCACCAGAGTCTGCGATCCATTCTGCACTTGGCACGACACAATCTTGGATACAGTGTATGGGCACCAATTCCTGCAGGAAAATAAATATTGACCAGTTAATGATGGTCATCAGCAGCAAATAAACACACTCCTCCATCTGTTTAGTCTCTCCAACTCATTATGCTACTTCCTGATTGAATGATTAAAATTCTATTCAACATTCTCATAGATTTGCTAGTGTTACTCATGGGTTGTGTCTCCCTCAGATCCTGCCCGACATTTACCCTAACAAAGAAAGATCCCACTATCAGATTGTATCATTCCAGATCTGTGAATCCATTGAGTTGAAAGCATCCGGATGTTATAGGCTAAATCTCTCTCATTCCAGCAGATAGAAATTGACCAGGGTGTAATAATTAGTCCTGCCATCTGGTCTGGGTAGGTTATCAATAACCAATCCAACTTTCTGCTCCTGACCCAGAAATTGACATTTTGCAGTTCTGAGGAAGGTTCACTGGACCCAAAACATTAACTCTGATTTCTCTTCACAGATGCCGCCAGACCTGCTGAGCTTTTCCACTGCCTCACAGCACCAGGGACCCGGATTCGATTCCACCCTCGGGCGACCGTCTGTGTGGAGTTTGCACATTCTCCCCGCATCTGTGTGGGTTTGCTCCGGGTGCTCTGGTTTCCTCCCACAGTCCAAAGATGTGCAGGCTAGGTGGATTGGCCATGCTAAATTGCCTGTAGTGTTCAGGGATGTGTAGATTAGGTGGCGTATAGGGGGCTGGGTCAGGGTCAGTAGCTTTGAGGGTTGGTGTGGATTTGTTGGGCCGAAGGACCTGTTTCCACACTGTAGGTGTTCTACGAGTACAAAGAGTTATCAGTATTATGGGGGCGGCCTGGTGGCTCAGTGGTTAGCTCTGCTGCCTCGCAGCGCCAGGGACCCGGGTTCGATTCCATCCTCGGGTGACTGTCTGCGTGGAGTTTGCACATTTTCCCCGCGTCTGCGTGGGTTTCCTCCGAGTGCTCTGGTTTCCTCCCACAGTCCAAAGACATGCAGGGTAGGTGGATTGGTCATGCCAAATTGCCCATAGTGCTTAGGGATGTTCAGGTTCAGTGGGTTAGACATGGGAAATCAGGAGTAGAAGAATGGGTCTGGGTGGGATGCTCTTCGGAGGGGCAACGTGGACTTGTTGGGCCGAGTAGCCTGTTTCCACACGGTAGGGATTCTATGATCTATGCTTCTGCAACTGAATAATATTCACTAGCAAGCTTTACACAGGAAGATTGACCGTTAAGGAATATAGTTCAGATTTGTCAAAACAGATCCAAGACAGTCAGGCAGAAATCAAGTCATATTTCTGAGTGGGTAGCGTTTATTCACCACTCACTCTTCCAGCTCCTTCCATCCAGCAAACCATTTAGTTTTAATTTTCACAAAACAACTGAATATTTTTTCTCTCCACCACCAAAGTCCCCATCTAACTTTTCACCTGTTATTCACCGCTGTTAAATCACTTGTGTTTCCGACGATGAACCAATTTACATGTAGAGACTGTTAAGGGCAGGATAGTGAGCTGCTCCTTTTTATTTTTTTATTAACCTATTTTTCTAAATCAGCATGTTCAGAGATGTTATTACGTATCTCTGCAGCAGGTGTAATTTGAACTCGGGCCTCTTTCTCCAGGGGTAGAGACACTACCACTCGCCACAGAGCCCCTTAGTCTGTAACTCTGGTTTACCAGTTCAGTAACATAGCCACGATACCGGTGCCCCCTTTATATCTGCCCAGTCAATTAGTCCCAATAACCTCTTTAATTACTTGTATGATTACCAGATTTCCTTGTTCAGAGAAAATTTTCTAAGCCTCGCATACAATCCTTGGACAAAACAAATGAAAGATTAGCAGAATGTTTTCCTTCATATTACATATAATACGATCAATCTTCCATATCCCCTTTCTTTCCTCAAACATAAAATCCAATATGTTTAATCAGAAAATGACCCAAATAAAAATGGATTTTTAAATGTTCTTATAATCTTCATGACACCTAACACCCATCTTAGAGAATTTATTGGACGGAGCAGTTTCTTTATTTTCAAATATATCTGTGGGAGCAAGGCTAATCTTTTTCACAGCATCACTTGATGTCAATTGCACATTGTGCCAATGGAATGGACAGCAACATAAAATTCTAAGGCCAAACCTTTTTAAGATTGTGCCTTGTGTAGGATCTCCTTCAGAGAATGGATGAATACACCCCTATCTCTAAAGCTTCTTCTAATACTAATGTTTCAGTGGCTAAGGTATTTTTAACCAGTCTGCTTATTTTCTCGGCTTCACAGGCCAATATTTATTATTTTCATCCAAGAATATGATCCAGTGCACTGGATGAATCATCCAGAAGACTGACACATGCAGCATCACCAAAACAACCAGCTTCACATTTTCTGGGTCACCCAAGGCTAGAAACAGGATTAGGCATTTTTCTGAATATCATTTCTGAAATATCTCATTTGCTCTCAAGATTTCCTCAATGAGAGCAAGGATTACCACAGTACCCAGTTCCGAAACATCATAACTGCCACCAGGTCTAGTCTCAATGCACAATGAGGTCCAACTATCCAATCAAGCTTCTCAACTGCTCTTGATCTGACCTATTTTATTGGGAAGTGATTAACACTTCCCAGGTAAGGCTATTGTTCCAAAGTCACTACTGACTTATTCTCTTTAATTTCAGATCCTATATATTAAAGGCAACCAAAGTAGAACCTCAAATACTAAATTCTGGTTCACTAATGTCCTTCAGGGAAGGATATCTGCCATCCTTACCTGGTCTGGCCTACCTGTGACTCCAGACCCACAGCATTGTGGTTGACCCTCTGTTGCCCTCTGAAATAGCCAAGCAAGCCACTCAGTTGTACCAATCACTACAAAGGCTCAAAGAAATGAAACCAGATGGATTGCCTGGCATCGACCTAGGCACCGGAAAAGACAATGGCAGAAACAGCTCTGTTGATCCAGCAAAGTCCTCCTCATTAACATCTGGGAACTTTGCCAAAACTGGGAGCTCTGTCTCACAGACTAGTTAAGCAACAGCCTGACATAGTCATAGTCACAGAATCATACGTTACAGACAATGTCCTAGGCACCACCATCACCATCCCTGGATACGTCCCGTCACAATGTCAGGACAGACCCAGTAGAGTGGTATACAGTCGGGAAGGAGTTGCTCTGGGAGTCCTCAACATTGACTCCAGACCCCATGAAGTCTAATGGCTTCAGGTTAAACATGGGCAATGAAACCTCCTGCTGATTACCACACACCATCCTCCCTCAGCTGATGAATCGGTACTCCTCCATGTTGAACAACACTTAGAGGAAGCACTGAGGATGGCAAGGGCTCAAACTTTACTCCGGGTGGGAGATATCAAAGCCCACCACCAAGAGTGGCTTGGCAGCAGTACTACTGATCAAGCTGGTCAGGTCCTAAAGGACATAGCTGCTAGATGAATTATTGTTCCTGTGGCTTTACCACAACACCACCATCTCCTCTATGTGGATGTGAAGTGCATGGTGCCTTATCACTGTATATTTCTAGTTCCAACACTGTAAATAGAGATATTAGGACTTGGTAAAGGAATAAAATGTCCAGATTGTGCAATTGTAAATTCACTGACTTCCCAAAAACAATTGCCTTGTTGTGTTCCATATCCAGTTTCATCAGAGCCTACTCCACAGTAAAGGCTCTGCGTTAATCAAGTTTCTTGCCCCTGCAACATTACAGGAAATCAACACTCTTTCCAACATGTTGCCATTCCTAAACCTGAAGCAGGCAGAGTGTTCAAATTTCTTAACCTTCTTTGAGCCCTTATATTTCAAGAATTTAAGTAACATTTCAGTTAATCTACTCCACAGCCTGTGAATGTGCATTGACTGTCTAAAACAGTGCAATTGTATCAGCATGCCACTAAAACATTCGTTACTGGGCTGATTAGCATCACTATCTCCTCCTCCTCCTGCTTTGTGTAATTTCAAAAACATTGTTATTCTATTTCGGATAATTCATTGCATAACAGAACTTCAAGTTACATATAAGACATCTGTTGACCATATCCAGGGCATTCCCGCGGTTCATCATTTGGATGTAGTCCCCCAATTCATGTTGTCTCTAATAATTGCCAGTGGTGTCTCTTTCCTGATTCTCATGGAAGGATGGAATCAGATTCTGAAGCTTATGAACTCAATTGTTGAGTCCCAGAGGCTGCAGGGTCCCCAAATGGAAAAAAAGATGTTGTTCCTTGAGCTTCCATTGAAGAGCACTGCAGTAGGCCTGCGACAGAAATGTTGGCATGGGAGTATGGTGGTGTGTTGAAGTGGCAGGCAACTGGAAGCTCGGGGACATATTTTGCACACAGAACATAGGTGCACATAGGTGGTCACCCAGTCTGTGTTTCAGTAAAAAGGAGACCACATTGTGAGCAGTGAATGCTGTAGACTCGATTGAGTGAAGTGCAGGTAAAGTGCTGCTTCACCTGGAAGCTGTGTCTGGATAGTGAGGGAGGAAGGAGGTAAACAGGCAGGTGTTCCACCTCCTGTGATTACATGGGATGGTGCTGTGGGGGGAAGTTGGGAATGTAGGAGATCAAGGTGCCCTGGAGGAAATGGTCCCTGTAGAAGGCTAACAAGGGAGAGGAAGGGTATGCGTGACTCTTGGAAACACTGATTTAGGAATTTCCAAGTAGAATATTTTCAATCTTGAGTATAATCTGGTAAATTCTATTATATATTGAAAGAAAAACTATCTACCTTTCGAATTTTATTAAAATCTGACTATGCCTTGTATACACTTATCAGGTCACCTTTCACCTATATTTTGTCCATAAACGTTCATACATTATCCAAACCTTCCTCTGTGTCTTATGTTTGAGTGTCTGGTTCTGAGAATACATCACTCCAATCTTGCCTCTCGTAGGATACAACTGTGCTCTGGCTGTACCTTGTTTTATGCCCATGGATATAACTAATGTCCATATCGCAACCTCTATTGATCGTGAGGTTTAATTTCACAGAACATTGGTAGGAAA